AATTGCAAATTAGTGATTGCAGTTGTGATAGGGGTGCTAATTTTCATTTGCTAAACTCCATTAAGAAACCTTTTTAATAAATCAATTCCCTCACACCTTTACCACTTAAAAACTGAACGCGGTTACCTTCATTCTGAATGCCCACCTAAGACCCTATTTGAAATACAAAATGAAAAAAAAAATAAGCAATGGTATGTTTCATGTTTATGCAGTAATTTGGTGTGTTTGTGTGTTTCACTGCGTGCATACATGTATGAAAAGATGTAGGAGCCAGATCAGTAACACAATGGGTAAGCACTTGCCTTACAAGAGGCTGACCAGGGTTCAATTCTCAGAACCCATATTGTTCTCTGATCCTTGATAGGAGTTATTCCTGAACACAGGGACAGGAATAAGCTCTGAGTACGGCCAAGTATAGCCCCAAATAAAACAAAAACAGAGTATGCACTTATGGAATGCAGTGTGTATATCGGTCACGGTCCTCCCGTTGTTTATCGATTTGTTCGAGCGGGCCCAGTAATGTCTCCATCGTGAGACTTGTTGTTACTGTGTTTGGCATATTGAATACGTCACGGGGAGCTTGCCAGGCTTTGTCGTGTGGGTGAGATACTCTCGGTACCTTGCCAGGATCTCCGAGAGGGGCAGAGGAATCGAACCAGGCTCAGCTGGGCCGGCTGCGCACAAGGCAAACGCCCTACTGCTGTGCTATCGCTCCAGCCTGCAGTGTGTATATAAATCAGATATATCCAGGCTTGGCAATGGTTTTACAACCTAGTTCTTTTCACTTGGTAACTAATGTATCATTGATTGTGTAAAATGAATTTTTTTCCTGGGGGAAGAGGGGGTCACGCCTGGCAATGTCAGGACTCACTCTACTTCAGCATTCAGGAATTATTCCTGGTGGTGCTTGTGGGCCGATATGCGATACAGGGGATCAAATCCGGGTCAGCTGCATTCAAAGCAAGCACCATGCCCGCTGTACTATCTCTCCAGCCCCAGGATTGTGTGAGATGATTTTATGGGCATATTGATAACTGTCACTGTCACTGTCCTCCCGTTGTTCATCGATTTGCTTGAGCAGGCCCAGTAACGTCTCTATTTTTTTGAGACTTGTTGTTACTGTGTTTGGCATATTGAATATGTCACGGGGAGCTTGCTAGGCTTCGCCGCGTGGGCGAGATACCCTCGGTAGCTTGCCGGGCTCTCTGAGAGGGGCGGAGGAATCGAACCTGGCTCTGCCGGGCTGGCTGCACACAAGGCAAATGCCTTACCACTGTGCTATCGCTCCAGCCCATTGATAACTAATAATCTAATTGTTATATTTCATTTGTATATTAGTAAAATTAACAAATGAAACCTTTGACTTCAGGGACAGTAGAGGTTAAATATGAACATAGGAAACAAACATATCACACAAGTCTGAAGTTTAAGGTATGAAGATTTAAAATCCTGTTGCAAAACATGTAAATTGAGCACAACAATAAGTAGCTTTATATTTTCCTATTTTATATTTGTGCTTAGCCACAAGATAGAATTCTCTCTGTTCAGATAGTAATGAATGTATTATGACAAAAGAAGTCTTTTATATCTGACTGGCATTAACTTTCCATTCTTCACTCTTGTTGACAAGGATTTCCGATGCTGTTTTATAAGCAGGAGAATAAAAAATCATATAAACTATGTTAGTTACATAGTAAAATGTTATGAGGAAATAGTCATTTTACTTAAATTAGAGAATGTACATCTATGATGTCATAGTTTCTTAAATTGAAATACAAGCATTTAATAAAAGAATTAAAATGGATTATTTGATATCGCGTTGGGAATGAAGATCTACATATTAAATGTTGTTGCAGTAAACCACAATGCACTGTCCCTAATAATTTGTTTCTATAGTCAATGTGACAATTTTTACAGAATTTTTAAAACAGATTTTTACAGAATTCACTGAATCTGAATAATTAAGCAAGATTTATAATTGTTGTATCATGAATCAGAAATTAGGTTGAGAACACACTGACATAAGCAGAACAAAAAACCTGACAAAAATGGGAGAACATATTTGTTAGTATTCACTTGTGTTACTGATAGAGAATAAATACAAAATTTCCAGATGATTTTAATCATTTCTCTTGAAAATTTTCATGGCATCACATCAATTTGATGTTACAAGAATTTATAAATCTATTCCTTAACTCTGCCTAAAACATTGGCCATAAACACTTGAAACCATAAAATACTAAGTCCACCAGTTTCCCTAACTCCTAGAATTTGTCACTTTCTTACTGGGAGACTTCAAGTATTTTTGTTTATTGATGATAATTTTATGAGAGCTGTTTTTGAAAAAAGTTGGTTTCTGATGGGATAACAAAGAGAAAAAGATGGGGAAATACAGGATCAATGAGTGCAAAATATCCCCAGAAGTCTCCAGACTGGGATCTCTAGGGCCTTCTTGGAATAGGGGCTGGCCAATTTCATACCCTGCCAAAAGGCCGAGCAGCCTCTCCCTATACCTGACATTCCTAGCATATAAACTACCCAGCTCCACAGTTCAACAACTAATTTCCAAGTCTCTGAATCACCCCACCTCTACAGTTCCTGAAGCATGTGGCCACATATGGAGCCACCAAAGTTTTCAAAGTACTGACAGTCTAATAAAAGCATAGAAAATTTGATAAGAAAGTTGCATAGACTCCGACTAAGATTAATGAGCACAAGCAGTAACACAGAATACTCAGCTAGCTCAGCAAATACTCAGACAATGACTTTAGTAACGTCATCGTAAGATATAACAATATTTGCAAGTTTTGTTTACTGAACTATTCTTTTAATTTTTTATTAGTGAATCACCATGGGGTACGGTTACAGACTTTCGTGCTTGCTATTTTTTATAATTCTAAATAATTAATATATACTTGCTATAATTACATATATTCAGATATATCTGTCACTGTCCTCCTGTTGTTCATCGATTTGCTCGAGCGGGCCCAGTAACGTCTCCATCATGAGACTTGTTATTGTGTTTGGCATATATTAATACGTCATGGGGAGCTTGCCAGGCTCTGCCGTGTGGGCAAGATACTCTCGGTAGCTTGCCAGGCTCTCCGAGAGGGGCGGAGGAATCGAACTCGGGTCGGCCATGTTGGCTGCTTGTAAGGCAAATGCCCTACCGCTGTGCTATCGCTATGTATTATACATTTACTATGTTTTTATAATTATATAAAATTATACTATCCATAATCACATCAATATGTCATAGTAACATGTTTTGCTGATTATAAATAAACATTAATGGAGTGCAGTGATAGGGGCCAGAGAGACAGCTTAAAGAGTACACACTGTATACAAAAAGCCAAGATTCAATCCCTGACACTTCCTTGTCCTTTGCACACTCCCAGAATTATCCCAATCATGGAGGTAGGAACAGCCCCTGAGCATTCCTGAGTGTGGCCCAAACATTTTTTAAAAATTAAATATGCATAATTCTATAATACATATAATATTCTAATGCATATATAATTTAACCTAAAAATTTCCTTTGCCTCATATCTCTTTATATTAGTTATACATGGAATAATGATATTTTTTATTCATCAAGAGACCATCTACACTGTGACGACTGCATGTTGCATTTTATCAGAATCTGTAACTCACGAAACACATGAGTATTTTCTTGTCTTATTTTTTTTTTGTTTTGGGGCCACACTGGCTGTGCTGAGCACTTATTCCTGGCTCTAGGAATCACTCAGGAATCACTCCTGTCAGGACTCAGGAGACCATATGGAGTGCTGAGAATCGAACCTAGGCTGGCCATGTGCAAGGTAAATGCCCTATCCGTTGTACTATCTCTAGTCCCCATAACTATATTTTCTGGCTGAATGTTGGATAACATTGGGCTGTCTTTCCTCTTTCTGCAAAAAACTTAGATTTATTGAGCTATTCTCAGAACAATGGCCCTGAGGCATACCCAATTCCATCAATCACTAATAATCCAATATTGCTTTTCTCTTTCCTTTATGTCATTTGCATGGTTTATTTAGCATTGTCCTTTTTGTGTAGACACAGGAAGACAGTTCATGCTATACTTTGTAACATGAGAGTTAATTAACTCCAAAATAATATTTACTCCTGGGCATCCAAATTTCAGATCACAGTTCTCAAGTCAGGTTAGCCTTTACTAACCCCAGCAGGGTCCTTATTCAGTTACTTCTTTTTGGGTTATGACAGAGTTTGTTCCATGACCATGCTCAACTTATTATACTTACAGTACTTAGCTTGTCTCCTTTTGATGCCAAAGTAGCTCACAGTTTGCTCTGAGTCCATCCAGTCCCTTTATCGAGACCCTGCTTTTGGAGTGCTAGGAACTAAGGGCAACTAAGGCTCAAGTCAAGTAAATATGGATACCCAGAAGTAAATATTATTTGGAGTCAATTAACTCCCATGTAACAAAAACATAGCATCAACTGTCTTCCTATGTCCATACAAAAAGAATGTTGCTCAAGCATGCAAATGACATAAAGGAAAGAGAAAAGCAATATAGGATTATTAGTGCTTGATGGAATTGGGTGTGCCTCAGGGGCACTGTTGTGGGAGCAGCTCAATAAACATAAGCTCCCTGCAGGAAGAGCAAGGACAACCCAATGTTATCCAACAGTGGAATATATATATATAATGGGGTCAGAGGGAAGAAAATGGATAATGCACTTGTATTTCATGCAACTGATGTGGGTTCCATCCCTGGTACCATATACGGAAACCTGAACACTCTCTTTATATTCTAGACAAACTTTTAGCAAGCTGCAATATATATATAGTCCAATGGACTTTATTCCAGGTTTACATATTTGAAGTAACATTCATATTTTGATGAACTTCATGAAAAGTAGCATTGTCCTCCCGTTGTTCATCAATTTGCTCGAGTGGGCACCAGTAACATCCCACAACAAATTGTGAGACTTGTTGTTACTGTTTTTGGCATATCAAATAGTCATGGATAGAGCTAGCTTTGGCAGTAAGTATACTAAAATTGGAACTATACAGAGAAGGATAACATGGCCCCTGTGCAAGGATGACATGCAAATTCGTGAAGTGTTCCATATTTTTCTGAAACCCAAGCACAAAAATTTGTAAGTCTACAGCTGTACCTCGTTGTTTCATTAATAAAAATTTTTTAAAAACATTTCCATAAAAGAAAAAAAATACATCACGGGTAGCTTGCCAGGCTTTGTCGTGTGGGCGAGATACTCTCGTAGCTTGCCGGGCTCTCCGAGAGGGGCAGAAGAATCGAACCCAGGTCAGCTGCATGCAAGGCAAATGCCCTACCTGCTGTGCTAACGCTCCAGCCCATGGAAGTACTGAAGAGATAATACATTTGGTTTCTGCAACCCTTATAATCATTTTGAGTAGAGATAAATACTTGTAAAATATAAGCTCCTCTTTATGATAAACGTCCTATCAAATCATGAATAGTATAAAAGAGTTCATTAGTTAATTAAAAGAGTTCATTGAAGTGCAGCTAAACTAAAACAAATAAAATCTATAACAAAGCATTGATCAAAATACAGTATTGTACTACTTCATGATAGAAGAAGGTGAATGAATCCCTGAGTGTTGGAAAGAATATGAGTATATCTGCTCTTATATAATACATGTACTGTTCTACTGGCTCTCTTAGCAAGAATAATACAGAAAAATAAAAATATTTCTTAATAAAGTTAAAGTTCATGGGGAAGTAAATCTTTATTTCTCTACAGCTAGCCTAATTTTTTATGGAGAAAGTTCTAAGGGGTTAACTAAAAAGTTGCTATAACTCACAGGTTTTCAAGTTTGCAGAATATAAATTTTAATAAAATCAGTATTATTCCTCTATACTAGAAATAAACAAATTGGAAATTAGGAAAATACAACTTAAAATATGAAAAAATGAAAAGAATTAGTAACATTTAAATTAAAAATAGGGCAGTTATAAATAGGGACTTTTTTTTATAAGTGAGTCACCATGAGATACAGTTACAGACATAAACTTTCGTGCTTACATTTCAGTTATACAATGATTGAGTACCCGTCCCTCCACCAGTGCCCATTCTCCACCACCAATGATCCAAAGATACTTCCCACCACCCCCACCCCACCTCTGTGGCAGGGCATTCAAATAGGAACATTTTTATTCATTTCATAGAAGATATGCAAAAGGTATGTAAGATTATTATAAGTTTTACATACATTCTATGAAATGAAACTGAAACTTTATTTTCCATTTAATATTTGGAGAAACTTTACTGTTATTCTGTCAATACTATGCCTCTTGAACATTGTTATATACATACTGTTTGTGAGCCTTTCACTAACCATTTTTTTAATATTTTTAATGAATCACTGTGAGATACAGTCCTTACACTAACCTTTAGCCGAAAGCAATAAGCTTACTTTTCCAGGAAGAGGCAATGAAATTAAAAACACAACATTTATTAAAATGTACAGTTAGAGAATAACATAAATCTAAACCAACTGTTTACATGGCTTTGAAATAATGCATTCAAAAGGTGTAATTTATGCGTTTCTTTCCCGATTTTTTGAGGGAAAGCAATATAATTATATTAATACCAAAAAAGGATTATAAAGTTGTTATAGATACGTTTCTATGATTATTTTATCCCTTGAGTATATTGAGTTAAAAGGCTAAAATCTGTTAAATATTAACATGCCATGGGAAAAGCAATTAAAACAAAGTAAGAGAACATGGACTTCTAAAAATAATTTACACAAAACTATCAGAAATGTTTTGCATAATGCCATTGAATCCTTTGTCACTAACATTTGAGAGAAAAGGCATCTTGCAACTGATATATGTAATAGTTATAGAATGTAAACCTTTTGTGGGCAGGGACTTGATTTAATTCACTGCTGTCAATAAATATTCACAGTATTAATTCACAATGTTTGCCAGATAGTCGTAGTCAATAAATATTCATCAAGCAAATAAGTGAATAACAGATTTCTTTAATTTAACTGTTGACACTTTAATAATATTAGTGGCATAATTCTGATTTAAAATTTTAAATCAAGATAGTTTTCAAGAAGATAATGATGGCATTTTTTAACTAAGACCATTTATTTCCTTTTTCTGTGAGAGCATTAAGTGATATATAAAATGCCTATGAGAGTGTTTGATATAAAGCATAGGCTTAGTTAATTACAGGTACTGTAGAGACACAGGTAAAATAAGAAAACTGGAGATTTAAAGAGATACAGGAGGAGAAAATTCTTTAACAACGATCCCTAAAGATATCACTTAGGCTTGACTCTTTGTTTCAATTGTCAAGTGAACAACTGGCAATTTAATACAAGAAGTCCTCATCTAGCTTTACCTTGAGTCTATTAGTATAGCTAATCCCATCATGTCTTAAAGATAGACATTCCACATATCCAGGACCTATAGGACCCATAGGTTTCATTTCTCTTGTGTGAGAATGAACTAAATGGGATATTATCCCGTGGAATCTTATCACTATAACTATCACTATCACTATCACCCCTTTGTTCATCGATTTGCTTAAGCGGGCGCCAGTAACGTCTCCATCCCTGTCATGTGCTAGTGTAGCCCGATGGCATATTGGGGGCTCTTTCAGGGTCAGGGGAATGAGAACCATCATTGCTACTGTTTTTGGCATATCTAGTATGCCACGGGTAGCTTGCCAGGCTCTGTTGTGCGGGCAGGATACTCTCAGTAGCTTGCCGGGCTCTCTGAGAGGGATGGAGGCCTTTGGAGCAGCCTTTAATCACCTTTACAGGTATTCCCAGTCAGGTATATATGCATGCAGAATACTCTCAGGAGTCTGCTGGCTTCTCTGAGAGTGAGAACTAGACAATAAGAAATCTTATGTATTATGCATATATGGGCTGGAGTGATAGCATAGTGGATAAGGTGTTTGCCTTGCACGCGGCCAACCCAGTTGGCCTAGGTTTGATTCTTCCACCCTTCTCAGAAAGCCCGGCAAGCTACCGAGAGTATCTCGCCCGCCCAGCAAAATCTGGCAAGCTACCCATGATGTACTCGATATGCCAAACACAGTAACAACAAGTCTCACAATAGAGATGCTACTGGGCCCGCTTGAGCAAATTGATGAACAACAGGAGGACAGTGCTACAGTGCTATGCATATATACATACACAATTTTGAATGATCAAAATCACATAAAGGAAAAGCGTATTCTTGTTTACTTTAGCAAAAGAGTATTTCCTTCACAAACAGAAGCCTCCATTCAGTATAATCTATGCCATAGTATAACATGATTTATATCCCCCATAGTATTAGACTTGTATCACTCAAAGCTGTGACTTCAAGCCAGGAAGGGTTTTACCTGAAACAGGAGGCTGACTTACTCTGCAATCCCTTCTATACAGTGTTGATGAGACAGCCGTCAGTTCTCTGAGACCTAACAACTGGAGTAAGCAAGACACCGAGCTGCTTGGAATAATTTAGCAAATCATTTTTAGGAAGTTCAAAATAGTCCCTGATTCTATGTTTGCATCACGGTCACGGTCACAGTCCTCCCGTTGTTCATCGATTTGCTCGAGCGGGCCCAGTAACGTCTCCATCATGAGACTTGTTGTTACTGTGTTTGGCATATCGAGTATGTCACGGGTAGCTTGCCAGGCTATGCCATTTGCATAATTATGTTTGTATAATTATAAATAATTTCTTTAGTGTTTCGATTGGCCGAGGGCAACGGAGGCCATTGCCCATCCCTTTGGAACGGCACTCGCCTAGCTCTCAGGACTGACTGACCCACGTTCAACTGCTGTTGTTCCAACATGCCAGAGGCTATTCACCTTGGAGACCTGCTGCGGATATGGGTATGGGACTGAGCGAGATTTACACCCTCTCCCCCGGATTTTCAAGGGCCAGCCAGAGCTCACCGGATGCCGCTGGAACCATGATGCTTTACAAGGCATGGGCCCCTCTCTCGGGGAGAACCCATTTCAGTGTGCCCTGCCCTTCACCAAAAAACAAGAACTCTCCCCAGGGCTCCTGCCAGCTTCTCTGGGATCAGTTGTGTTACTGCACTGGATGCCTTGTGGCGCCTGTCCCTGTCACTCTGGATTTGGGGATCTGAACCCGAATCCCTTTAGTGTTTGCCTGCTCAGTTCAGGGCTGGGCCTCCTCCACCCAGATTTCCCATCTTCCAGTAGCTAGACAGTTATACCCACCAACTGCCGTGTAACCACATCAATGGTCAGGATCCAGAGACTATAAAACAAAGCTTCCGGAGCTTGTGGACACAACTGCAGCCGCACGACCTCTTATTGTCTAGTTCTCACTCTCAGAGAGCCTGGCAGGGTACCGAGAGTATACTGCCTGCACGCCACAGCCTGGCAAGCTACCTGTGGCATACTCAATATGCCAAAAACAGTAACAATGATGGTCCTCATTCCCCTGACCCTGAAAGAGCCCCCAATATGCCATCGGGCTACACTAGCATGTGACAGTGACGAATGGAGACATTACTGGTCCCACTTGAGCAAATCAATGAACAAAGAGGTGATAGTGATAGTGATTCTTTAGTGTGTACAGAAAAACATTTTCCTCTTTGTTGATTACTGCCAGGTTGAAGAAATATTGCTCATTGGTGAGCTGCAGAGCTTTTGCACCATTTCAACATATTCTTTACAAAGCTTATGTGGGAGAGAAGAAGAAAAGTACCTGCCATAGAGGCAGGCTGGCGGGGGGCGGGTTGAGGAACTGGGAGGGAAACTGGGGATTTTGGTGCTGGGAAGTGTAAACTGGTGGAGGGATGAGTGTTGGAACATCATGTAACTGAAATCCGATCATGAATAGCTGTGTAACTGTGTATCTCATGGTGATTCAATTATATTTATTTATTTATTTTAATATACTTTTTAAAGAATTACCATGAGATACAGTTACAGACTTATAAACTTTTGTGATTATGTTTCAGTCATACAATGTTCGATTGCCCATCTCTCCACCAGTGCCCATTTGCCACCACCAATGTTCCCAGTATCCCTCCCACCACCCTCCATTCCCCCGCCCCCCGTGGCAAGCACATTCTCTTTTGCTCTCTCTCTCTCCTTTTGGGTGT